TGCTCGAACTAAATAAGTATCGTTTAATAAGATACTTAATGCCTTAAAATTAATTAAATGCCTATATAAATGAAATCTTTAGTCGCAAAAGTACCATATTAAAAGAAAAGCAATACTTAAAACATCACAATTTCGTAGATTTTTCGAGCAGTGTGTTTACAACTTACTTTTACTAAATGTTAATAATAAAAATGAACCCTTTCACTGCGGTAAATTTTAGTATGTAATATCTTCCATCGAAATCATTCGTTTTGGCGTTTTGAAATTTTCAAATTTTTAAATTTCTTCGATTAAATTAAGATAGAAATGCGTAAAGGACAAAAATTGAGGATTAAATTAAGGTGAAAGTGTGTTGAAAGGCGCCCATATTCAAAACGTCTACAATTACTATTAGCGTAGCGCGAGAAAACATTCAACGCGCCTATAGCCGCCAAGGTCACGCGCGAGAAAACATTCGACGCGCCTATAGCCGCCAATATCACAGCGCGAGCACATTTTCACAGCTCCTACAGTCACCAAAGTGCAGTGAAAGGGTTAACATAGACTTTACGCTAATAGCTATATAGCTAACAGCCTCACCAAATAGGGTCTACTCTTTCTGCCTTAAATCATAGCAATAGAACGAAGTTCCTACTTCGAGAATAATCGAAAACTACCAGTTTTTGATTTGTCCATTACAAAACTAACAACCTTACTGAGAAATAATTTATACATACTTGTTGTGCAAAGAATACATTCGACTATGTTTATTATACACAGATTTTACGCGGAGATTTAGAGGATTTACAAATGGAAAAAAATTCTTCTTCTTTTTAATTTACTTATACGTTTAATTACTACGAGTTTGTAAATTCTACACGTATTTACAAAATAGCATGTTTCTAGTCAGTGTATAACAGTTTGGAAAACAGGTACACGTAACTGAACGTAAATCACACGGATTGTTGTTACATAGAACACTTGTAAGTACACGTAAGCGGCTCGAGGTGAAAAATGCTTCGTGAATTCGTGTATTCTAACGGTTTCAGGCAAAAATATATTTAGGTTGTGACGTATGAAAGGAGCCCGCTTGTCGTCAAACGGATCACGTAGTTGCATAGAGCAGTGAAAGAAAGAAGAAAACGAAAAAGGTGGAAATTAGGAAAAAGATATTTACAGTTGCTACGGACGAAAGATCGAAATCAACAAATACTCCTTTAAAGCGTTCGTATTGAAAGTTAGGGTGAGAACAATATTCGTTGTAATATTTTCGAAAAAAGAAAAGAGCAACTTTTATCAGGTGTAATAATGTTCAAGATTTCGTGCAAATGTGTAATTGCATTCAGCTAATTTAACATAAATATATATGTAAAAGGTTAAAAATGAGAAATTAATTAAGCTATCCTTATCGTCTATACGAATATGCATTTGAAAGGAAAGAAGAAAGATTTTCCAAATAATTTTCCTTTATTTTAGTAGAAGAAGAAAAATGAAGAACAATGTTTGCTTTACGAATCTCATCGCTGTAATCGTATTATTAAGTAGGATAAGGTGTATAAAGTAATGTAAATAAAAAAAAAGAAAGATGAAAATAACAGTAGGTCCAAATTTTCGGTTAACATTGTATCTGAAGAGAACTTCGTAACGATGAACATTTTTAATTACACGAATTAAACAAAGTTTCAACTAAGATTATACGGAAAATATTGACAAATACCGAATTTGCCATTTTTACGATATGAAATTTCAAGGTTTTTTACTAGATCGATCGTGTCTTATTTAAATGCTCCGTTTGTAAAAAAGCATAATGTATATATGTACTTGTTGTCGGTGTAAAAGATATTTAATAAATTGTCGAAGATAACGTAAGATATCACGTATAATATAATACATTAAACTTACCGCTACTGGCAAACCGATATAAGTGCATTACATTTCGATCGGCAACACGTTAAAGCGGTTTTTTCGAGGAATTTTTGCAAAAAAAAAAAAAAAAAGTACAGATTTTTCCCAACCTGAGGATCAATCCTAGGACGAAGTTTCGAATCTGTAGATTATTATGGATCGAGGGTGGTTGATAAATAATGCTTGAAATTTGTACAAAACTTGAATTAACGCCGTTACAATTTTCACGAATCTTATATTCTTCTTTCTTGACGAATAATTTTTTTTCTTAATAGTATTTTTACTATTCTTCAATTGGAAGTGAGTATGATAATGTTGATAAATAATAGGTTTTTAATAAATTTACCGAATGATGATAATTACATCGACTGTCCCTTGATCTGTTGTATTAAATAAGGATAAAAAAGGTCGATAAAGTGTTGTACATATTGTATATAGAATAAATGTGTTTCGAGCATGCATACAGTAATTGAATGTAAATGTATATAAAAGTGCTCTGATCTACGTGGTGTAAGATGAAAAAAGGTGATTTCTCTTAAATTTTTTGAAAATTTGTTCAACAAATTTCTTGTTATCTGTCGAGTTGTCTTAAAAACTGACGAATATCGAAGACATGCAAAATTCATGCTAAATTAACTGAAAATTTGTTCAATGATATTTACACACAAACATTATTATCTACCTTGTACAATTATAAAACAAAGTTATTCGTATAAAATAAAGTAGAATTAAAATTACGTTAAAATGCAGAATATTTTTAGAATTAATTTAAAAAAGAGATATAGCGCGATAAGAAACTGTTTTAAAGATTCGAGAGAAGTCACTCTTTTTTTGGCCCGTGTCACATATTTTCGAACACACTGTATGTAGATATTATACAATTATGCTGACGATGATACCGGCAATATTGTTATTACTACTATTATTACGATTATTAATAATGGTAAAATAGTAATGGACACAACTAAAGGGTAGTAACGACAACTATAATTAGTAACGTAACGAAGAGTAATAAAAACATATGGAATAAGAGTAGTGTAAAGAATAAAAAAAAAAAAACAGGTAACGATATTATTAGATACCTCTACGAGAACTTGTAACGTTATTTTCTGTATAATTGTATTCAATAATGGGCAGAATAACGATACTTTGTGACAACTGAATAGTTAAGTATCGAACTGCAAGGAAGTTCTCGCCTTTCATTTTTACGAAAGAAAGAAATATACGAAGCTGCAAATTTTTACGCGATCTCGTTACTTGTGTATACCTCCACCATCCTATCATTAAACAATTTTTCTTTCGTAATAATTTCATTTAAAAGAAAGAGAATTATTCAGGTGTTTGACTTTTATCTGTCGAAAAATAAAAATGAAGTTTGCTTATTGCATTACGTGTGCAACAGTTCAACACGTTCAGGACTGCAGTGAAATTCACGTATATTGTTATTAATGCTTAATTTTTTTCAGTTTCCAATTTTTAAATTCTCTCTTATTTCGGGGTTTTCTTTTTCTTTTTTGTTAGAATAATGTGGTCACTATTGGTCACATTTATCCTGAACGTGTTTAGATATGGAGGAAAATAAGTGATCGAGGATAATATTAACACTTTACCGACTGGTAGCGGTTGAACATCTTACGCACTACCGACCGCTCACTCGGCCACAGATGCATCACTGACACCGACTCTGTTTAGACTCTAGGCTATCGCGCGGGAATATATGCGCTTTTTCTTGTACCTATAGAAATGTTAAATCAAACTTTGACCGATTAATAGGCTATCGGTCGGTAAGCGTCGGCGGCAAAAAAGCGGTTAATGGGTTACCGGTCGGTAAGCGTTAGCGACAAGCAGCCGATTAATAGGCTACCGGTCGGTAAAATGTTAAGACAGCAAGGAGTAATAATTTGTTTAAAAAATTTATTATTCGTTCATACATACTTTATATACATTTTTCATTCATTCATGCTTAAAATACCACAGTACAGCTCGCGACATTTACTTTTACACACATAGCGTGCACACATTCGATATTGACGCTTCACACGTAAAATACCGAGTAATTAGGCATTAAATACTACGAATTTTGTGTTGAAAACATTCGAATTTTCTCTCCATGTGAAATTTTCAATTTACATTTTGGAAACTTATATATCGATGTAACAAGGACATTTGATGTGAACCTGTGAGAATGAGTTTTAAGTTAAAAAATAAATGTCCATTCGAATCTGGATTTTTATAAATTAAAAAGTAGCATCTTTTGTCTGTTGTATCTTTCAACAAATGTTGAGATTTCTCTGTGACAAGCCGCTTCGAACTTATTCCTCGAATAATGAAATATCAGTTTTGTTAAATTCAATCAAACAAATCAATTGCGAAATCACAGAAGAAGGCTCGACGATATTTCTACGCAATTTTCTAATTCATAAAAAGAGTAAAAAATAATAACGAACAGCGAATGACGATAAATAACAGAATCTTGATCGTGTTATTTCTGTAAATGCTAGGTGCAACAATGACGATAGATGAATTTCGAAAATATTATTCGTGTGACTTGACGACACGATGTTTTAAATATTTGCCCGACTAATATTTTTCGAAAATCCTCACATTCTGCATGAATAATGGTGAGGAAAACAGCGAAAGACAGTTCGTTGACATTTTTTATGCAATGCAATAACTGCAGCCTTTTAACCCTTTACCTTGCGATTTTTTGATCGATTCGTTTCGGCTGTTCACTGTTAAATATTCACTGTGCACAGTGTTGAGTAAAAATAAGTAAAAACATTGTTCGATAATTGTCGGCGTTAAATTGAAGCTGAAGTTGGAGCAAAAATATAAATTTCACAGAAGTGCAATTCTTCTTTTGTTACACCTTCGCTGTCTTCGCTAAGGCAAGGGGTTAATTAGGTTTGTTTGACTAAATAATATATATTAAAAGTGAAATATTTAGTCAAATTAATGTATTAGGTGTAGAAATGAATTCTTCCCGACTGAATTCACATAATTGACAGAGTTTCTGTCGGAATGGTATTCGCAAGCTGCCAGAAAAGTGGCAGAAGTTCGTCAACGATAATGAAAATGATTTCGATGATTGATCTATTTTCGTTCCCCTCGAATAAAACTTTGAGCGCAGCCAAAAATTGGAAAGAATTCATTTCTACATCTAATGTACAGTTAACAATAAAAGAAGAACTGTCTTCGAATTTGTTTTTAAAAATATGACGCGATTAGATGTGTCGGACTAACGATTTTCAAAACGAACGACATTTGTGATGCGTGGAGAAACATGGAATGATCGGACGTTGTATACGTGTAATAAGCGTAGTAACCATTCTTCTTCTCTTCTTTCATCTTCGCACCGGGAAAGATTCAACTTTTCTTCTTTGGAAGAACGAGCGCCAGTGCTCCTCCAACTGAACAAAAGAATCGAGTTAAGCTAATTTATATTTCTATTATGTTTTGCTATATGTTTATTTTGTTTTACTTCAATTTGTATTTTGATAATTATAATTTACATAAAAACTATAAATTACACATTTGTAATATAAAGAGTGAAAATTGAAATTGTTGTAGCACACTTACGAATCACTATACTGCCGACCAGAAAGATTGGCACTTCGCAGCTAATGTCGAGTAACATTCCAAAAGCTAAATTACTGGCGATGGCGCCGATTCTACCGAAACAGGTCACTATACAAATCGCAACGGCGCCTACGTTCGTTGGGAATATGTCGACCACGATGCTGCTGATGACAAAATTCGCCGTGACTATTGTCAACGAGAACATGCAGCTCACCATGAGAATTTGCAAGGAAGACCTGACGAAGTAAATCGCGAAACCGAATACGCCAGCTAACAGCATAGTTGTCACTGGAAAAACCAAGCAAATCTTACAAAATTACCGAAGTAAATTGATAAATAATAAAATTCGTTTTAATCTGTTAACTGTGTCCACCGTTCGAACAGAATTTGAATCTCTGATTAAAATTAGAAAATTACAAAGTATTATAATTTTCTTGGGAATGTGAACACGACGTATTTTACTCTTTCAATACAGGCATAACGGTAAAAATGAATAATCTCTCACAGTTAAAGAGGATATAAAATACTTATAGTGAGAGTTTTGAGACTTTCACGGCCCGGATTGATACGAGTGGAATTATTTGAGGCTTCCGGGTGTAAGCCGTGTGCAAAGGAATTTACATTCCGGCGTTTCGCCAGCATCGTCAGGGTCTGGAGACGTACTGATAATCAATTAAAAATCAATTAAAATCAAATTTAACCCTATTTGGAGCACCCTCCTCCCGTTAATGAATTGATTTTAATTGATTATTAATTGATTCAAATGAACATGGGTATTTACAGGAGTGAACACCCTGACGCACATCATTATCAGTACGTCTCCAGCAATGCTGGCGAAACGTCGGAATGTAAATTCTTTTGGACACGGCTTACACCCGGAAGCCTCAGATAATTCCACTCAACGACGAGTTAACTCGGCTTACACAGTTCACAGGTTAAGAAGTGTTGCGTTATTACTGTGATAAAGAATACTGGTGTAACACACTAATTGTAAGTCAATGTGAATGACTTACTTTAATGTGCTGATACAATATTTTGCATGTCACAGATGTAGAATAAGTAATTTAATTTTGCTAATTCTTCGTATTTGTGCGATTTTATTTGTGTAATTTTTACGTTCTTTTCAGCATGAAGTGAAAAGGGGCGTTTTTTGATTTTTTGATTTTTCTAGTGAAATTTCACTTTTTCTTTAGTGAAAAGTTTGCATCCTGCATGCAATATTTTCCAACGAAATTGCTTCATTTCGTTAACTAAAAAGTGTGTTTCACGAGTGTTTCTCTGAGAAATTTCAGCAGAATCTTTTTGAAATGAAATATCTCAAGCTTACCTGGCATCGTTCGTCGACCAACGCGATTTGCCATGTAGCCAGAAATGACGTTTCCCAGCAGACAAAACGCGTTGATAGTTAATGAATTGATGAACACCATCTCGTCCATATTGTGAGAACAATCGTTCATGACACTTGTCGAATCGACTAAAATGTTTTTCGCAGATGGCATGGCAGTTTTTAATTCAGGCTCGTGCATCAGTTTGCACACGCTCGCTGTTCGATTCGGGTGCAAATTGTGATAATTTTCGAATCGGTTGAACAACTCTGGCAGCCATAAACCGAAACCGTAGTATCTAAACAGAATCAGAATTTTATTAATCGTATCTCTTGGCAAATTCTACGTTTCAACAAAGTTGCTAGAATTTCTTTCTTTCAAATTTATAAGGTAACGTCCAGTGTACGAAAATTACCATTATGAGTTTACCAAGTAGAGCGTGTAATTAAAAAATTTCGAAGTTTCATATAGGAAAGGGAAGTATAATTTCTGGAAAAATTACCCGAACATATTCGCGAAGTAGATGCAACAACAAAGAAGAGCATATTTCAAGAGCGGCGGCGATCCAAGGCAACGCATTTGTTGCCAGATATTTTTCAGCAATTCCGTTAGAACACCAGATGCAGCAAATGATGCTTTATCGTTATGACTATTCATGGTGTCATCGGGTAACAATATTTTTACCTAAAATACACGAAAAGTAGAAAGTCGTTAGTGGTTAGAAATCTAGCTTTCTATTTAAACCAACGTAACAATAGTTAACTGTAGCTTTCTAAAGTCACTTAGGATATTCAAACAGTGTCGATAGGTAACGTTAAACCGCATTTCAGTTTCATTTAGTTCGATGAAATTTTATTCGGTAAAATTTAGTTGGAGTAAGTATTTCAGGTGAAATGATAAATACTAATTAATGCCTAAATTCTGTCGATTTAATTTTCACTAATTCGTTTCTGTAAGTTTTATTAACGTAGCAATTAATTATGAGATGGGAGGTCGTACTTAACGATCAAAATGATATAGAACGAATTCAGAAATAATTGGTGCTTAAATTCCATCGATTTAATTTCTATTAATTAATTTCTTCACGTTTTATTAACGAAGTGATTAATTAGGGGGTAGACGATACTTACCGGGTATTCATCTTCATGGTGACCAGTGTTTAACGCGTAGATCTTTCGTAAAATTGCCAGAGCTTCCTCCGTTTTCCCTTGAGAGACCAAAAATTTCGGGCTCTCGGGATACGCAGTTGCGACTAGAGTTACCATTAACGTTGGAATTCCAATAATGGCCAAGAAGATTCGCCAAGAATTATACAACATTCCGTTGAATTGAAGAGAAATTGGCAGTGGTATAATGATCCAGGCCAGACCTAAACAAACAGAAGATACAAAACTTGTATCAGAATACGTTTAAACTATGCACAAAAATTGTTGAATAAAATATCAAAAATAAATATGAAAGTTTTACAAGAGATAAAATGCACGTCAACAATAATGCTGATAAATCATTATTTTGTATTAAAGTTAAGAAATCTTACCGGGTAATATTAACCACGAAATTGTCCAAAAGAGTCCTACATAACAGATGGATCTTACTCTCTGTTTCTCTGCATGGAATTCCCCAAGATACGTGTAGACCAGAGAGCCAGGAGCGCCAATGCTGCAATGAAAATGCCATTTGAACGAAATAGAAGATTACTGTCATACACGGTGAAAGGGATGATTAATAAGGATTACAGTAAATTCTCCACAAGTGTCAGTCCGCAAGGAATCTAAACCTGACACTTGTAGAGTCAGGGACTACGTTTTCGAGCCTCGCGCTCGCCTTTGTAGTTTGCCGAACGTAGACAAAGACAGCGAATAAAAGATAAGGATGAAAGCGATGCAAGCGATTTAAATACCAACTTTTTAATTTTACATTTTTGCATCCCGAAATTTTGTCACGCCAGACAGTGAACGTGTTAATAAGTAAATGTTGTTCAAATTATATCGTGTTTGATATCATTTTCATCAGAAAAATCTCACCAACATGTTAAACAAAGTTTCAGATGAAAAAAAGTAAAATTAAAAAAATTATATTTTTCTATTATGATTTGTCGAGCTGTGAAATCTCGTAAAAGAAACCGAGTGGTGTAGCGTTACACTGACTGCGAGCGAGATAACATAGGCGCAGCAATGACGCAGACCTAGGCGTAGGACCATCTATACTGACACTTGTAGAATCCAAACTGACACTTGTAGGGAATTTACTGTATTCGTATACTTACAAAAATCCGCTGAGAGCCCTGAAAAGCAGGAGTACCTTGAAGCTTTGAGAGAAGCTTCCTCCAATTGATAAAATACTGTCGCTCAGTAAAGTGAGGAGGAGAATATATTTTCTGCCATAAGCATCGGCGAAAACTCCCCAGAAAATAGCACTTATGACTCCTCCTGAAGTGCAAGAAATGTTAAATTAAATATTACCAACGATGATAATAATAGTAATTTAAATAACAAAATAATCTTTTACCAATTCCATTTCTTTCTTTATGCTATTTGAAAAATTAAGAATTCATTTCTGCAGAATGTAGATTTATGAATTCTACTATTAAATTTGTGAACGATATCTTCAGCAGATAGCGTATCTGAAGAAAAATGGATCGACTTTGATCGCGTAACGAGTGGGATGTTACATAAAAACTGCTCTTCAGCTTTGCTAATGAAATAAGTGCTGTCGAACGTGTCTAATATAATACAATCGATGTACAGGGTTAGTTTTTAAGTAATTTCTACTCGAGTGTGTCACAAATACACGGAAGTTCGTTTTTCAGAGTAGTATTGAAAACGAGTAAATAACAAACAGTTTTCTGTCACATTTATGATCATCGAGCTTACTAAATCTCCACAATTTTGATAGATAAATTCGATTCTATTAACTGCACTATAATTATGTCACGTAAAAAGTATATTCTCGTCACTTTTGCAGCCGGTATGAATTAGAAAGTAAATTATATTCTTTCACAACGTAAATTTCTTTTAATTTGGCAAATTTCGAAATTTCCACGTTTCCACAGCACTTATATTTTTCTATAGAAAATTATGGCGAGTGACAGATAGAGAATCACGGCGATTTTGCATCCGGAAGTGTTGGATATCTCTGATAAGCTCAAAAATTATCCACGTTTATTCCACGTCTATTTTTCTTCTTTTTTTTTAATGTTGAAGTATTTCCTTACCTAAGAGAAAGGAAACGTTCAGGAGACCTTTCTGCTCGGATGTTAATTTGAGATCGCATTCTGCGGATGGCAAAATATACGCGTTTATGCCATTTTGACAACCGACGCAGAGGAACATCGCTCCACAGAGAAGCAGGAAGCCATAGTGAAATCTTCCGTATCCTGAAATTGTAGATTGAATTAGGAATAAGTTTGGCACAGCTGGGAATTACCTGAAAAATTGGCAAAATTGAAAAATATAGAATTGACACTGTATAGAAAATGAATTTCAGCGTAGCGTATTAAAACTACAGTAATCCTATGACAAATGAAATAAACAATGAACTTTAGGAACAAATGGAGGAATTCTTACCGCAAAGTTTGATGGCTTTCTCGAAATCTGCAGTTCCTTCCTTAGCTCCGTTACTTTCTGGAAACAAAGTGAATACTAGGTGAATTAAATTTCGAATTTCAAAATATTTTTACGTGCAAATTGTTTAATTTAGTTTAGTATACTCCAAGCAGTACTTTCTCACCAAGTGTTTCAATCATATGTATACAATTTTTGATCACCTACTAATCACTTAAAGATGAACGTCTTAGAGCAATTGTAACATAATAGAGACGAAATTTTCTCATCGACACAGTATGAAAATTTCTTCCGAATTTTTCTCAAATCTGTCGCAAGTTGAACTATTCTTCGTTAACGGTAAAGTAAAAGAGTTCGAAAATTATGCGACTTTCCATACACAGAGATGTACGGATTGACGTTAACGTCAATTCTTGTCGTTCTACCGGGTCGTTTTTAATTACTATTAGCACAATCAAGATAGTGACACCAGCAATTGATGGTAAATGCACAGTAAGTGAAGTCCATTGAATTTGTCTTTACAAGAGGTCGACATAACTTTAGATAGAAAAATGTCGATAGGAGCGAAAGTCAACCATAAAAATTCTGTTTCGTTTAAATACTATTTTAAACGAATCTAAATCCATAAATAGTCATCAAGTTAATCCTGATAAGACGAGTCACGTGCCGAAACAGACACGTGAATTAATAAAGCTACGTCGCACGCTATGCATATAGCGAATCGCAACCAAACTGATCAAAATAATCGGAAGATCTCACTCTTGAGAAATGAGCCAAGTATTAGAAACGAGAAGAACTCGGTTGTACTAAGAAATTAGGAAATAGCGATGTTAATGGTCTCTGCAATAATTCGTAAATTCATTATTATTTTCATATTTATTCTTTCAGTATTTTTCTAATATCTTCGTATTCTAAGATTAACTATAATTTCACCGGAGATTGCGAATAAGAGATTCGCCGTTTCTCTTGTTCTACATTTACCGCAACGTGATATGTAAATGTTGAAGTTGCCATAAGAGGGAAGAAATTGAGAGGTGAGGATAAGTATATGCACGTGTTACGAACGAAGTGTAATATAATTGTCTAGATGTTTGCGACACCAGCGTTGGGCGTTGGTCGTTGCCACGATCGCGCGTGCTTTTCCATTCGCATAAGCCCCATTTGTTCGTGCTTTTCCATTCTTAGGAGACCCTGAGGCGAGTCGAAAACACCTCACTGTCTATAACGCAAAATTAGATTTAGTAAACAGCTAATTTTTAGTACGAACAGTACGACCACGTTGACACGTTCGCGACGGAAGGTCTTCTAATTGCTCGTTCTGATGGTAATTGTTGAAGTCACGTTGGAAGTCCGCGTGAAAATTCTAACTTGGACCCGGATTATTGATCAGTTAGAAAAATATGCACCCCGTTTTTTCTCTTTTGTTGCCTTTTAAATGCTTAGATCTGTAAATCGTGTGTGAGAAGAATTGCTTTAATTTCGTAGGAATTATAATTTCACTATTCTAAGCTCGTCGCAATTTTTCATTTAGTACCTTAAATCTAAATTTATCCTGACCTACTCGTAAATTGTTGCAGTTAGAATTTGTCTCGAATACTATAGCGCACGCGAAAAATTGCAGGCCTGCTCGAGTAATCGTAATTAGCGCTGGATGTTAACGCAAAGATCATTTTCTTTCTATTATTTGTCCTCTTCTAATTTTTCTCGAACGAAGCCATATGTTTTTGTTAAGCAGAAGGTGAGAATGTATTAAAGGTGAACTTAACAATGCATATTTGTCGCGTTGTTCATTTACATGCAGCATAACGATGTCAAAGTGCCCCTTAATAAGCGACAAAGCCATTTGAACAGGTGAGACTAATTACTCAGGTAGTACACATCGACACTACCGGCCCAAAGTTTGGAATCACTGCCCATTGCAAGTTACACGATCATTTCCAGAAAAAAGTCAGCAGCTTTAAGAATTCTTTAGCGAATTTTATTTCCACGAATTTTTTATCTCCACAATATCAATATCAAGTCTGTGAAAAATTAGTAGCACTGATTCAGCGCTGACGAAAATTGGGAGGTGATTCGAAACCTTTGGCCGGTAGTGTATATGTATTTGCCTTTTAATTGTACAAGATTTAAAATCGTTGCCATATGTCAGTGAGAACGTGACAATATCACCTGTAATAAGAGAAAGGTATCGTTAGAAGTGTGTATTCAATTTTATCGTTGATCAAAATTCAAACGAGTGGTAATTTCGAAGTGTTCGTGATCACCCGCTGACACAATATTTTCCTCAAATGTAACAGAAAATATACTATTTAAAAAGTGCATTATATTTACATAATGTATAATAATTACAAACTTAAAAAAAAAAAACATCTAATCAGGCCATTATTTCAATTGGATCAAAATAAAAATACGAAGAAACCAAAATTCTTTATTTAAATTTAAACAGACAATTCAGCTGTTCGTGTTATCAGTTTTAATAGTAATAGCAAATAGGACATAAGTCCAAACTGTAGTAAACTAAACTTTCGATTTCGTCTCCAAGATCTCAAAAAAAAAAAAAAAACGAATTTGATATCGGTAATCATCAGAGAGTTCAATATAAACTCATTAATGCATACATCTTTCCGGTCAAATTGTGTTCTCGATAATCGAGAAGACGTACCTTTAGAAACCAGAAAACTGTGAAGGAATCGAATCAATGAAATGACGTAAATTGTCTGATTGGTAACACAAAGCGGGAACACTTGCATTTAGCCATTTCGCCGGCTCGGCGCGGCGTCTTTTGTTGCAGCTGTTGTGCCGGTTCAAATGTAGAAGACATGTCTCCATATCGGGAGGTTCTTGGGTGATATACTTTCCTTCCTTTTGTTTTCTTTTTTTTTCTTTTTTTTTTTTAATAATCACACGAACAACACAAAAGGTTACAACCGGCGAATGAAATTACGGGCAACAATGACGAAAGGAAGTAATTATTTGAACTTGGGTAATAATTATCCCGATGATGTTTCGTTGTCTCTCCTCTGTATGAAGGCACGCGCGCTGACAGATGTCGTATTCTGTGAGATATGAAAGGGGACCAATTTGATTTGACTAGAGGTGAGTGAAAAACCACGTATGCATGTCCGGACAAAAGCTCTTAATTGTTGCCGTACCAGTGGTTAGCGTTCGGTAATTGAGCGGCTGATGTGAACATTTTTTGTGGATAAGAGAATTTTCGATTGAACACCGACGCGGCTTGTTATTAAAATTATCGATATCGTGTTTTAACTCTAGTTTGGCCATTTTTTTGAATAAATTTCAAGGTAAACTTAGCGTTTTTCTTGGTTTATTAGGAAATGGTGAAACTGGAGAGGAAACTTTGCGTTGATGATTTTGGAATTATCTGCGTTAGTGGAAACACTCGAGTTTTACCATTTTCTAATGAATTAAGAAATATGGTGAAACTGGAGAGGAAACTTTGCGTTGATGATTTTGGAATTATCTGCGTTAGTGGAAACACTCGAGTTTTACCATTTTCTAATGAGTTAAGAAATATGGTAAAACTGGAGAGGAAACTTTGCGTTGATGATTTTGGAATTATCTGCGTTAGTGGAAACACTCGAGTTTTACCATTTCTCTTAATTTATTAGGAAATGGTAAAACTGGAGAGGAGACTTAATATTAATAATTTTAGAATTATCCACGTTAGTGTTCCATTCAAAATTCTCTCATTCGAGTAATTGAACGAGCTACCTTTTACAATAGAAAAAAGAAATTCAGAAAAATTAATAGATGTACTTATAAAGACATTAACGAAATATTACAAAAATCGAAACATAGAAAATTAACCGTAGAGTCAATCGATCCTGAAGTTACTTTAAAATCGAGATTCGAGTAACTTTTCTAATCGTTAAAAGACGTTCGACGATGTGTTTGGCGAGTGACGTAAAGAAAGCAGAATCGCGTTCAATTCCATACACCTGGAATGCGATATTTGATTGCAATTCAATTTAGTCTACGTAAGCGTGATTATGCGAGCGGATTTGTTTTAATCGAATTATCATTGTTCCGTTTAGCAAACGGTACGGAAGAAGTGGCGATGACGTAAAAGAAGCACGTTCTCGCATATTTTTAATTAATGCCGGTGAATTTGCTGAGACACAACCATTTTCGATTGTTTACGAGAGGTATTTAGCAATATGTTCGATATATTTCATTCGAAATTAAACTGGGTCGATCTAAGTTTACCTCTCGCTGGTTAAAAACAACAAACAAAATCGCCCGATGGAGTAATCCTTTCGAATAATACGAAACCGTCGATTTGATTGATCAGTTGATGAAACAAATTAGTTCAATTGTGATTTATAATACAAAATGTAAATTACTAAATTATTCTTATTACGTTGCTATTTATTTGTACTTTTTACTTCTACGTAGATTTCTTACTTGTTACTTCTTTTTCTTATACTGTTACCTTTTGTCGGTATGTTATCTTATGTTAATTTGTTGTTTTTATTACGCTTGTATATATTGGATTACTTGTTAGTTACCTCTTTTCATACCATTATCTTCTGTTGTGCCTTCAGTTTCTCTCTTAATATTGATTATGTTCGCTGTTTGTTTTAATAGATACTCAAGAATAATAATAGTAATTACATTAATTTAACGATTAAAATTACTTCATGCAACTTAATTCTAATTGAAATTATTTCGTATACTAAAGAAGATTACGCAAATGTCAAGCTAATTAACGAAGTGTGTTTACTTAAAGATATAGGATAAGTTAAAAATAAATCGTTCTACCTGAACAGCCTTGTTAAACTGTTATTGAAATAAATTTCACGATAATAATAATTCTTTTTTTTTTCAGGAAGTTTAAGAGTTCATCAAAGAATTATCCTTCACAATATCATGTGTATATCCACAATTCTGTTTTGATTCTGGTATTTCCTAGTACATACTACAAGTTCGTTGGACTGGCTCCAATAATGTTTAAATCAGAATGAAACCGAGGTTCCAATTAAAATCTGACAGATGTTAAAATATTGTACGAGGAAAATTTCGAAGAAAATTTCGCGTCTGCTCGTTTTATTTCTATAATATTTATTTCACTCTTGTTTCTCATCCGATGATATTAATACCGTGTGTAATACTTAGCACCGGAGAATTGTTATGCAAAATGATTCGAATCAATAACAATTATCGGAGGAGAATACAGGTAATGTTAGTTGAAGCTTCAGATGCAAATTGCATTCAATAAGTTCAGAATGATAATTGCGCTACTTTTTGTGTCACGCATCAAGACATTTTTAGTTTTTTTATTTTTACTAACTCAATCGGTAATTTTCTTGTTTTTACTAACTCAGTCGGTAATTTTCTTAAAAACGTTTCTGAAATGTTGATACTTGTTCTTACAATATCTTTTTTCAATCAATTGCTCGATCTAATATCTCTGTCAAGTCTGTAAATAACCGAGGATGCAAAGATTCCATGTGAAAGAGGCTGTGTTCATTAAGTAGATTAAGTAAACCATAATATTCTCTATTTTCTCTACTCCTTCCCAAACTACTCGTAAGCTCTTTCGAAAATCGAAAATAACACTATGTCTGTATGTACGTAATTTACTTTAGAATACGAAGAAAATAATACAAAAAGAATTGCTAGAATGCGTTTAATGCACTCGTTAAATAACCGAAGATGCAAATCATAAAAATTCCATATGAGAGAAGCTGTTTCTTTTACTCACTACTCTTCCCAGACTACTCGAAATCTCTTTAAAAAATCCCAAAATAACATTATTTCTACATGTCCACAATTTACAATAAATAAAAAAAAATTCGTATAAAAAACACAGTGCATTAAGTAGATCAAGTAAACCATAATTTTCTCTACCTCTTCCACTCACTTCATCCTTCCCAAACTACTCAAAATCTCTCTCAAAAATCCCAAAATAACATTATTCCTGTATATCGAAAATTTACAATAAATAAAAAAATATTCCATGTGAAAGAGGCTGTTCATTAAGTAGATTAAGTAAACCATAATTTTCTCTACCTCTTCCACTCACTTCATCCTTCCCAAACTACTCAAAACTTCTCTCAGAACCCCCAAAATAACGTTATTCCTCTGTGTCCAGAATTTACAATAAATAAAAACAAAAAGTCCCTCGTTAGAATAGAAAAATAAATGGCAAATACTGACCCACGAAATAAGACAGGGACCTGATCTGGTTAACCATAGCGGCTGGCGTTCCCGGTGTCAGCGGCTGTAACACTGTGTCTCTCCCCTCTGTCAAAGACCGCGCAAAGACTGTGCGGGATGGAAGGCGAACAGAATCTTGTGTGTTTCCCTCGACAGCGCCGACGGAATATGTTGGTGCGATCTACACTCGCATCGCTTTAAATATTGTCATGCGCTTGCAGGATCGGTCAACGACGAGCCACGAGTTCGCGATTCGTCGAGCACGAAAATCGTCCCCCTACCTTTACCAAAGTCCCACGTGCGAAACTGTTATATTTTTCATCGGTCGTCGGTATCGCTAAAACTTCGTAACGCGCTAGTGACGCACGCGTCGTTTTTCATTTTTTCTTCTTCGAGATTTCAACGACGAATTCTTCGCGAATACGCAATTCGTGAGATCTACGACGATCGGTATGCGTGAGCATGGGAACAAACGGGTGACGTTTCTTGAGGAGAAAATTCGAGGGACAACGATGAAAATTTTCCCGAGAGAATTCGCGTTGCGAGTGTTAGACCGTTTTTGTTCGGCGAGAGTAGCGAGAGATTGTAATAGTATCGGTAAAAAGGTGATGATTACTCTATTGAGATGCGAAAGTATCTTTTGTAGATTTTCAGTTTTTGAAGTGTCCATTTGGTGGCACGTTCGATATTAGGTTAGGTTAGTTAAAAAAAAATGGTCCAGGGATATCTGGAATTGTAGGTTGAATTAAAGTTGAAAAAATTGTGGAAAATTTCGTACTACTCGGTTTTATATTTATTTTTTAGTGAAAGTGTATAAATAATTAGTTTCAGTGAATTTGTAGGATGTTGGATATTATAGGTTGAATTAAAGTTGAAGAAACTCGGTAAAATTTCGTCCTACTATTAATTTTCTACTATTAATTAATTCCTTTTATTAATTTTTTTTTACTTTTTCACACGTTGAAATGTTTGAGAATGTACGATAACTTTGAACTTTTTGAAATCTTCTTCGTATCGAAGAAACAAGAAGTTTTTCTTATCTTTGAAGTTCGTTTATGTTCTGTATTGACTAATTAAAATTTGCCCATATACAAATGAGCATAATCGTCTGAAAACTAAAACTCGGCGCTTTGCCTCTAGAAATTGTTTAAACAATGACCTATTGATTTTAATAAATAAGCTAGAAGTGTGTATCTGTTTTAAGGCAAACAAGTAAAACAGAAAAGAAAATATGAGAATGATCTAAGGACTTTTTATAAATAATACAAGCAAATAATGTAATGTAAATAAATGTTTTAATAAATAATACATAATGTACATAAATGGTTTTACAAATAATACATAATATATGTATTAGATTTTATAAACGATATATAATGTAGATAAATATTTTTTATAAATAATACAAACAAACAATGTAATATAGATAGAATTAGAATTAATTCTGAAACGGTAGTGTGTTATGTACAAACAATATGATAGTTATAATTTTAATACTTCTGAGTCATTTACATGAATGAGATAAGTCAATCTTTTTTCTGTATTTCTCAGTCTTCCCACAATTCTCCATCATTTCGTGTACGTAAAAATTTATTTTACAATACGTTAGATAACTTACATGGCTGGAACAGATAATATTTAATTTTATTCGAAATGAAATAAGAACGATATGTTAATTAACAGGTGTCCATCTTATCATACATACGAATTACTATTTTTTAATAATGACAATTATTCGTCTATTTTCAATTATTACATTTACATACTTCCATATATTTAATTTCGTGAATTTACCTGAACGTGTTATTTCCATATAAATCGAACTGTATAATCTGTATAAAATTTATTATGTATAATTTTCGAATTAAAATAACCTATTATTTACATTTTCACGAACACGATAAAATATAATTTGCAATATAATCTTCGATTAAGTGAAACGTGAAATTCTTTATTTAACAATAAGTGAAAATGATCTGCGAATTGTACGACGCAATGTTGATAAGTATACCAACCTGTTGACGCGCGTATTCAATCTTGAATTAACGTTTCCAATTTTGATTGACATCAGCAGGGGATTTGTTATTTCCAATTCTTGAATTAATTCGTTAACTCGTTACGATAATACGTACAATTATCCTGTTTAACAGAAATGTGAACATTGATAATAATGTTTGTGTTGGGTGCGGTCCTTTGCAATTAGGCTCGTTGAACCGAAGAATTAGGAATGAATCGATATTCAACTATCACGCCTTTACTTGTATAATGCTGATGAAAAAGACGAATAACATAATGCGACATATATTTTTGATTGAAAATAATCATAAATTTAGATATTGATAACTCAATAAATAATTAAAATTAATATATAATTTATTGTACTTTCAATTTCAAACAAAAATTCACAGAGGCAATAAATATTACGTAAGTTTATTTATATCAACATAATATTAAGCAATTAATACCAAAGAAATTTTATAAGAAAAATTAAAATCCTACTTTCATTGTTTATTACTCATTTCTACGAACTGTTTTTCATATTGCTTCTATCCTACGCATTTTGTCAATTATGATTCAAACTAGAACAACAGATAAACAGATGAAAATGTAAAATAAAGAATGTACGTTAACTTTGTTAATTAATGTATTTCCACCTGATAGAATTTTTAAAAACATTAATATTCGCAGTAATGTTTCGATTTGGCGCAAAAGTTAGATGCCTAGATTGCAACAGATAAATTAAAATGAAGAGAACTGTTTACTATCTTGGTATTACATAAGTATATCGTCCATATACTCTACAAGAGAAGAAAGGAAAAGAACCACAGAATTACAAATATTTAATAATGTAATTTAAACTATGTTAAAAATATGTATACAAGAAAAAATATTAAGTGATCCTTAATAATCTAGGCATAATTTATAAAAAAGTTTAAAAAAATGTATAACATTGAAAAAAACAGCTGTGAAAATTTAAAAAGTATTTTTAATAAAAATTTAGTATTCATTTAGTAAAAGTGAAGAACTATAGTTTCACATTATCCCGTGATTAAACAGTACCTTTAATTTTATCGATTTATTGTATTGGACTTTTATCGTTTAAATTACAACAATCCTTTTAACAACAAACTAACCATTTATACAAATGTAACTTTTCTAAGCTAAATGTATAAAATTAATAATAAGCATTTATTTACTAATATTAGTTAAAAACAGCTGTTACTAAAAGCAGTAATAAGTGTTGTAAATTTGTAAAGTACATACTTTTTGATTACAGAATAAAACAAAAGAAATTTAATGAAATTACTAGTATTAAATACTCCAGCAAATCCTAATTTTTCATCCTTGAATGTACAAACGAGAACCAACACTATACTAGATTCTTTTATCAGTGACTAAGCCAGAGTGCTCTTCAACTTAACCTCTATCATTCCCTTTATTAATAAAGAAAGTATACGTTAATGATTCTGCGTTGATACGCACTGTTTATACGATTGTTTCATTTACGCAATTAATATTACAGTGTTACAAAAATGTTACAATTTAATACGACATTTTGTACTGTAACAACTAGATTTACGTTTCGGTTATTATGGCGATTAAATGTGTCATTTAATACAAATTCAGCAACACTAACCTCTGAATCTGTTAACAAACTTAAGGTAAATTTTTATGTTTTTAAATAAAAATCTATTATTATATGTGTATTTTACATACTTATCATCCTTTAAATATTTAAAAAATTGATGGAAGTTGTTTTGTTAAAGCCTGACCATCAAATAATATCATCAAATGCCAAAGCTATCGATGATCAACATGTAGCTTTTAATCAACTTAAGACAAAACTATGTCATAAATTCAGTATGAAATCTGTAGATCTTACCCAGATTAAAAATGCAAACACTGTACATGACCTAATAGAAATTATGAAAACACCTAAATTAAGTCAACATGATATTGCAAATGCTATGGCAACCATTGTAACATGGATAAATGTAAATAATACAAAGTCATCACGTAACAAAATATCAGTTACAAGTCCAGAAAATGTTCAGGAAATAAAATTTTCAGAATCCAAGGATAATATAAATGAAGTCAAACTGGCTAAATATTGCGATTTTTCAACAGCTGAAATGATCAAGGTAAAAAAGTAAATATCTATCAGAATTTGTTTAAATATAATTACTTACTGTTTGATATAGGAAATAAACAAACTATCAACAGCAAGGAATAGAAATATATATCTTGTAAAGTTTTTCTTTGAAAATATTACAAAATATAATACTCTATTATCAGTAGGACAATGTTCATCTTTACTCTTTAATATGAGTATTTTAAATTATTCTGATGAGGTGAGATTAATAAAAATAATATTTACTTTTAAAATAAAAATTAATGGTTAAAAGATATAAATGTAACTAAAAATTTATTACA